GAGGGTCTGTTTCCTCACCTGACCCACTGCCGTCACTGCACCAGGGCCCCCCAGAGGGTCTTTTTCCTCACCTGACCCACTGCCGTCACTGCACCAGGCCCCCCCTAGAGAGTCTGTCTTCTCACCTGACCTGCCGCCGTCACTGCACTAGGTTGTCCTGTAGAGGTTCTTCCTCTCCTCACCTGACCCAACGCCATCACTGCACCAGGGCCCCCCCAGAGGGTCTGTCTCCTCACCTGACCCACCGCCGTCACTGCACCAGGGCCCCCCCCCAGAGGGTCTGTCTCCTCACCTGACCCACTGCCATCATTGCACCAGGGCCTCTGTAAAGGGTCTGTCTTCTCACCTGACCCACCGCCGTCACTGCGCCAGGCCCCCCCTAGAGAGTCTGTTTCCTCACCTGACCTGCCGCCGTCACGTCACTGCACCAGGCCCTCTTGTAGACGGTCTGTCTCTCCTCACCTGACCTGCCACCGTCACTGCACCAGGCCCTCCCATAGAGGGTCTGTCTTTCCTCACCTGACTGGATGTGTTTCCCCAAGGGCTCGTGTCTCCTGTCTGAATTCAGACCTTCCTTCCCCCTGGCGCTTTCCTGTTGTCAGTCTGACTCATACTCAAAGCGTCTGTTGTTTACAAAGGAGCAAAACTGTTTCTTTGAGGAGCTGAGACGGCACTGTAGTTACAACATTCAGCTGCTAACTAAAAAGGTCAGTGGTTCGAACCCCCTGACTTCTCCATAGGAAGACGATGTAGCAGTTGGCTTCTCTTGAAGACCTACAGCCTAGAGGGCAGGTCTGTGTCCTACAGGGTCACGTCGAGTTGGAGCCCACCTGGTGCTGTGGGGACTTGGGTTTTGGGGATGCTGTTTACAGATGGCTTGAGGTTATAGATTGGGTTGAAAACTTAGATTATATCCCAGGGTGATAGATTCACAGGTCCCCACAGTTTCTGTGAAGCCAGTAAGTCTGGTGTCTTTAAGAGCTTGAGATTCTTACCTTTTTCATTTTGGATCAGAATCCATTCACAGTGTGCCTGCAGATGGTCACCAGGCTCCCTGTGTCCTCCCAGCCCATCACAGGGGAGGCTGGAGTTCAGGGACACAGTCCCTCCTGCCGACCAGTCCTTCAGCTCAGGAGCTTTTTAAAGGCAGTCATTAAGTCGGCAACCCCGAGGACAGCTGGTGTGGGCATCAGCACCTGAGCCTGAGGGCCGATACTCTTTCCTGCCATCGCTGTGTCCTCGACCCTCAGAGAAGCCGCCCTCTCAGCTCAGCCTGTGGCGACCTCATTCTTAAATGTGGTCCAAAGAGCAGACAAAACTGTAGCTCCTGAAAGAAACAAAAACGACTCGGCGAACAGAAGAGACTTTCTGAAGTTCTGACAAGACGAGCATCCACAGAAATGATGAAGCTTTGATGGTAAAACTGAAACAGAATGATAGCAGGAAGTTCAAGTGATAGAACTTAACCAAAAAGATGAGTTCTGAAGCAAGAAATCCATTAGAAACTTGAGAAGACTACCCTAGAAGGTCAGCGGAGATGACGAGAGAGGGGAGGTGGGAGGAAGATCAGTTCGGAGTATTTGCTCTGTGACGACAGCATGGAGGGGAGAGAGCTGAGTGCTCTCACAAGAAAACTTCTCCAAGAACAACCGTTTAGAGGGAGAGAGGCTCACGGACCTGCCGAGCGGTAAACAGAAAAGACCACATCTCAAAACCCCGTCAGAAAGTGAGGGACAAAGGCAGGGTCCGACTGCTTCCTGAAGGCCCAGCAAGTCACCTGTAAGAGAAGAGAAATAAAACTGCCATGATGCGGGTCCCCCAAGGCTTGACAGCTTCAGAACTGCAGTGATTTCCTGTCACCATCGTCAGGTGAAGTGGCATTCATTATTTGTCAGGGCCTTTGTAAAAAAAAAAAAAAGACACGAAACTATGCTAGGATGTGGAGCCCCACGTGCCGTCCCGTACCCCAGCAGTTAACTGTATTCCAGTCTTCCATCCAGCCTCTTCCCTGCCTGGTGGTTTGTGCTGTCGAGTCACGTACCACTCATAGCGACTCGATGCATAACAACAGCCCTGAGCCCTGACCTGTCCTGCACCTTCCTCCTCATCTCTGACACACTTGAGCCCAGTGCTGCAGTCACTGTCTCGATCTGTGTTATTGAGGATCTTCCTCTCGCTCGACTCTCCACCATTCCGAGCACGGTGTGAGGTGAAATTTCACCTCGTTGCTTCCAAGGAGCACTCTGGATGCTTTCCCCCCCTAAGACGTGTCTATTCTTTTGTCAGTCTGTAGAAGGAATATTCCATACTCTTCTCTAGAACCACAACTCAAAGGCATTGATCCTTCTTCTGGAATCCTTATCGTCCAGCTCGCAGATGCATAACAAGGGATCGAAAAAAACCACGGCCTGAATCAGGGTCACGTTGGTCTGCAAACTGATGTCATTGCTCCTCAGTAATTTGGAGAGGTCCCTGACTTCAGACTTTCCCAGTCCAACATGTTAGGGTGTTGAGTGTGGATCCAAGTAAGGTGAAACCATTGACAAATTCATTCTTTGCTCCATCTGTCAAGAAGTTGCTTATTGGTCCAGTGACAGGGATTTTTGTCTTTCTGATGCTGAGATACAATCCATATTAAAGGCTGAAGTCTTTGATCTTCTGTAACAAGTGTTTCAGGTCCTTCTCACTTTGAGCAAGCAAGGTTGTGTCATCTGCATAACGCAGGTTGTTGATGAGTCTTCTCCGATCCTGATGCCACATTCTTCTTCAGAGAGTCCAGCTTCACAAATTATTTGCTCAGTGTACAGATTGAATAGATACGGAGAAAGAATACAACCTTGACATACACCTTTCCTGATTTTAAACGATGCAGTGTTCCCTTGCTTTGTTCATACAGCAGCTGCTTGGTCTAGGTATACATTTCATATGAGCATAATTAAGGGTTCTGGATTCCCATTCTTACTATTAGTTGTAGTTTGTTTTGACCCACACAGTCAAATGCGTTTGGATAAAATACAAATAGACTTCGTGTTGGAATTCTCTGCTTTCAGCCAAAATCCATCTGACATCAGATATTCTTGGTGCCATGGCCTCGTCTAAATCCAGCTTGAACTTCTGACAGTTCTGTCCGTGTCCTGTCGTAGGCATTTTTGGATGAGGTTTAGCAATATTTTGCTTGCATGTGGTAATGATACTGTTCAGTAACTTCCACATCCTGTTGGATCACCTTTCTTGGGAATGGGAACAAAAATTACTCTCTTCCAGTCAGAGGACCCAGCCGCTGTCCTCCAAATTTCCTGACATAGACTGGTGAGGACATCCAGGGCTGCATCTATTACTTGAAATGTGTCAATCAGTATCCCATCGATTCTTGGGGTCTTATTTTTTGCTAGCGCCTTCCGTGCAGTTTGAACTTCTTTCATTTCCTTTGGCTCCTGCTTATGTGGTACTTTGTGAAATATTTCAGTGCTGACCAAGTCTTTGTGGTACAGTGAGTCAGTGTATTATTTTCATCATCTTTTGCTGCTCCCTGGATCGTTCAAGATTTTGCCATAGCATCTCTCAGTATTGCAGCCTGAGGTTTGAAATTGTTTTTCAATATTTTCAGTTTGAGAAAGTGCCAAGCAAATTCCTCTCTTTTTAATCTCCACCTCTTTGTACATTCTATTACATTCCATTATAATACTTTGCATTATATTCTCAAGCTGCCTTTTGAAATCTTTTGTTCAACTTTTTTACTCTGACATCTCTTCCCTTTGTTTTTTGGCATCTTGATGCTCCAGTGCAATTTTCATATTCTCTCCTAACATCCATTTTGGTTTTTTTCTTTCTCCTTTGTCTTCTGCTCTCTTCATAGATGATATCCTGGATGTGGTCCCTCAACACCTCAGGGCTTCGGTCATTGCTGTTCGATGCTTCAAACCTTTTTTTTTCACATCTATTTTTAAGATTATTTTTAAATTTTTAAATTCAAGTAGCGTAGACTGAAGGTCATTATCTTGGTTCTTGTGGCTTTGTTTCATTTTCTTTAGCTTCAGTTTGAACTTGCACCAGAGTAGATGATGGTCGTTCCACAGTCAGCACCTGGCCTGCTCTGACTGGCGATACTGAGCGTCCCCAACGGTTCCTTCCACAGATGTGGTCAGTCTGGTTCCTGTGCGTTCATCAGGTGAAGTCTGTGTGTGAAGTTGCCTCTTGTGTTCTTGGAAAAGATATTTGCAAAGAATAAATCATTGACCTTACAAAATTCAATCCTTCGATCTCCAGCTTCCTTTCTGTCATCCAGTCCGTACTTTCCAACCATCATTCCGCCTTCATTATTTCCAACTTTTGCATTCCAGTGATCAGTAATATTAATGCATCTTGATTACGTGTTTGGACTACAAAGCTTGGTAGAGATCCTCCATTGCCTCCTGTTCGGCTTTAGTTCTTGGTACGTATGTCTGGATAACGGTTGTATTCACAGGTTCTCCCTGTATGTGCATCGATAGCATCCTGTCACTCACAACACTGTATTTGTTCTGTTGGAGGATTTGAAATTATCCCGTCACTTCGCTCAGATCCAGTGTGTATCTGTAATTGCCCATAACCCCTGCCGTCGGGTTGATTCCAGCTCAGCACCTCCGAAGGACATAGCAGAATGGCTGCACTAGGTAAACAGGTTACCTAGGCTGTCAGCGTTTATGGGGGAGACTTGTATCTTTCTCCCATGGAGCAAACCACTGTGCCACCAGGGCTCCTTCCCTCACTGACGAGGACACAACCACCCTTCTCTCATAGACAGTACTACAAGCTTGGGTCCCGTCCGTATTCAGAGTTCTCCAGTTGATTCGAGTGCCTTTTCACGGGTCCATCGAGGTCAAGGCTCAGATACGATGACTGCACTTACTGGTTGCACATTTCGCTCTTTGTCTCTCTGTGTCTCTTGTCTCACCTGGTCTGTAACATGTGGTTTGTTTCCTTTTCCCAGGCCATGAGCGCGGCTGTGTGCTTCATGATTGACGGTAGGTGCCCACTCCTCTCTGTCCAGCCTCTGCCCCTCACAGCACGCTTGGCTCCCTTCGTAAATGGGCAAAAAACCCAACCCACCTAAAAGAAAGACATTTTAAAACAAGCAAACAAAAATACACCCCAGCCCACTGCTGCACCGAATTCTCAGGGCTGACCTTTTGGGAGCAGGTCTCCTGGCCTGTCTTCTGAGTGGGTTTGAACCACCCACCTTTTAACTAGTAGTTCAGTGCTTAAATATCTGCACCACTGGGGGCTTCTGTATACTAAAACCCGAAGCCGCTGCCGCTGAGTGATACCCCTCTGGCAGACCTCTGAAGCTACACGCACATACACGGGTGTGGGCTTAAATCCCTTTTCTGTGGGACATAAATTTTTTACCATCTTAAACAGTATTTTTTTAAATAATGTGTAGTTTTGATTCTTCTGTGTTTTTCTATTTGATGGCTAGATCTGCCATCAAATCATTTAGTGATGATATTACTTCTAGATCAGTACACTTTAATTTGAATAGTTACTAAGTATTGTTGGGGGGTGCGGTAACATGAATCCTGACTTCCTCTGCACCTTCCTGTGACACTTATGGGGTTTTCCTGACCACCCGGCAGCCTCCACACAGCCCACACTGGACTTCTGCCGGAGACTGGACAGCGTTGTGGGACCTCAGCTCACGGTGCTGGCGTCAGACATCTGCGAGCAGTTTAACATCAACAAGAGGATGTCTGGGTGTGTACTCGGTTTTAAGTTCACTTGCACTCAGTTAACTGGTGGGAGAAGAATGATGGTGTTTTTTAACTGCGATTAACATACTTTATGAACCAAAATGTTTAAGACCTAGCTGCCGCTGCCAGTCAGGACCACGGTGACTATTTGCACATTGCTGAGTTGACTCAGGCCTAGGTAAGCCCTCCAGCGGAAGGAAGCCCTGCCCCCTCCTGTACCATCTTCATAATCTGTGTTGGGCTCTAGTTCACTGTGGGGGTCCACTATGTATTTTGGGGGGCCTCTATAGGTCTGTCTTGGAGAAGATGAAACCAGGCTACTCCTTGGAGACTAGGATTTTGAAGCTCTGTCTCACATGCTTAGGGCACATGGCCAGGAAGGACTGGTCCTTGGAGAAGGACATCATGCTCAGCAGGTTGGAGGACAGTGCAGGAGAGGAAGACCCGAGATGAGATCGATTGGCACAGTGACTGGGGCGATGGGGCTTGGTGTGTCAGTCAGTGAGACCGGCTCAGGACAGGGCTGGCGTTAGAGCTGGTGTACACAGGGTTGCTGTGAGATGCAGGCGACTCAACGGCACATTAACAACAGCAGCATCTACTGGGACCTCCAGGCAGCTCTCTTGGCCTAGTGGTAAAATGTTGCTCTACACACGAAGGCATGCAGTTCGAATCCGCTAGCTGCTCTATGTGAGAAAGGTGGACATTCTCATCCCATGCTCTTCACAGCCTTTGAAAACCCACTGGAGGCTTAGTTACAGCCCAACAGCAAAGAGTTGTGTATCTATTAGAAAAGTGCTAGGTAAAATATCTCCAATGTTTTATCATGAAAATTTCCAAACAGGAAAGCTGAAAGGACAACAGTACCGTGAATTCACACATACCTGCTACGTCCCTTCCGCAGTTCCCAGCTGCTGAGTTCTATGGCCACCCGTACCGCTGACTCCAGTCCATACTGTGCACTGTATACAGTGTTAGGATTTGTTGCTGTTCATCTCAGATGTAACGTTTCAAACCTCCAAAGACAAAGATCAAATTTCTAAAGATACTGATGTTAAAAGGCAGTGCTGATCCTGCCGAGCTGCCTCACTTGGGATTCTGAGGCTGCCCTGTCCTCCTGAGGAGCCCAGGAGATGGCTTTAAACCTCTGACCTCTAGTTATCACTCATGCTTTAACCACTGTGCCACCAGGACCCTCTAGAGGACCCCATAGGAAGTCTTACTCAAAGTGTAACAGAAGACCCCTTTGTGTGTGTGACTGGCCCCTGAAGGGCAGGGAGCTGCCTGACCCTTTCTGTAATCTTGTCTATTTGTGAGCCCCCAGGCAGACAGAGACACGCACACGCACACGTGCACACACACACACGTGCACTGTATTCAGTGTGTTCTTTTTTGAGAAAGTAAGACATTTATGTTATCTTCTCTTTAAAAAAAAAAGGGGGTGGTATTTAAAAGGCTTTGGTAAGATGTTAACTTTGATGAGCTAATTATGGTGCAGAGTGAACTGACCTTCGTGTGAGTGGGTCTCCTTTCCCCCTTTAATTAACACTGCCATATGTGTAACTCTCTCTTCACCCTTCATAAAGGGGAAAAGTCCATTTCCTCATCTTCCTGTGTAATAACTCCTAATAGTAATTTACATTCAGAGATGTGTAAGAAATTTTAATGTTTTACATATTAAAAGTAAGGGGAGAGAAAAGCCACGGGCAGTGTTTTAAGACCAGAACCCTAAACCTGAATGAAGCTGTCTGGATACCCAAACCACCATGTTTCAGCTCTTCCTAAACACCTTTAAGTTTTCCATTTTTCCAGTGCTATACACTTATCGACATGGTTCATTTCCAAGGACCAGGTCACAGTGTGAACATGGAAGATGACCACGTCACTATGTAACTGACAAACCCCTGAGAACCCCGGCCCAGCCGGGCTGACACATCACCAGAACCACACAGCCAGCGTGCTCTTGCCATGTGCCTCTACCTCCCAGACATACATTGTTCACGCTCCACATAGTCCGATGGTAGGATTGTCACTGTTCCAAATGGAAAGTGAGGAGTCGGTGTAGTGTAGGGAGCACTGGTAGCCTCGAGGCAAGAAGGAGCTCTGCAATCTTGAAGGCATGCACTTTGAATCTACCAGATTATCTGTGGGAGGAGGATGGGCAGTATTCCCGTGTGATGAACTAACTGCCTCTGAAAACCTGCTGGAGGGTCAGCTGTGGGTTGGTTCCAACGCCAACAGTCACACAGCAGGTGAAGTTTATTTCTATTTCGTGGTTTAAGAGTCTTGTGAAAACAACTAACATGGCTTTGTGCGAATTTTATATGCCTGGAAAAGAAATGGCCCAAATTCTTTCTTCGCCTGGTATATGGTATCACAATATTACAGCGATAACTTACCCAGACATTACAATGTTATTATCTCAGCAGTAACCCTCTTATCCAGAGATGTGCTTCCGAGCACCCTCAGCCTCCCAGCCTCCTGAGTGTGGCCACTAGCCCTGAAGTGAGCAGAGCAGGCTTCTGAGCCCCCCAGTCTCAGGCTCCCCCTGTCCCAGACCCCAGTGTGTCAGGTAGGGATGCAGCCAGCCTTGCTCAAAGTCACTCTAACAAGTAGAAAGGTAAGTCCAACTAAATGCATTCATTAAGCTTAAGCAGAAAAAGAAAATCCACCTTAGAACGATTTCCATTTAGAGTCACGGGAGGCCCCCAGGAAGAGCCTTGGGCTTCAGTGGCGTCTGCTTACACGGTGTGCTCACTCCTTGTCCAGCACTACAGCAAGCGAGGTGAGGCCCTCCTCAAACATCAGGCTTCTTTGTAAGGAGCCAAAATACTCTCACCTTTATCACTTAGATAGGTCCTCACTGCTCAGTGCTCTCATTTCAGAGCAAAAGCATCCGTAGCCAGTACTACAGACAGAGCTCTGTACGCACAACCGTGTTCCAATAAAACTTCATTGAGAAACACAGAGCCACAGTTTGCTGAACCCTCTTCTGGTCGATGGCTGGCCTGTGTTCATTTCGTTTGCATTAAAAATACACATATATGTACGTGTGTTTATATAGAATGAAATGAGTCCCATTTATAAATTGCCATTTTTAAAACACACTATCCACTGAGAAAATGATCACATAATTAAAATAACTTTCAGAGTTAAAAAGAGAACTAAACCTCAGCTCTCGGGGACCCAGAGTCCACCATGTTGAACACCTCCCTCCCGTGGCTATTTTTATTTTTTTTCTATGACATTAGAAGGTTGTTTCATCTTAATTTTATTGAGATTCTTTCTTTGAAGCTCAGCCTTTGAAAATACACAGCCTTGTCATGAGGTCTTAACAACGTAATTGTAGAACCTGAATTACTACCCTTCCAGGAGTTCCAGCTCATTGACATTTTTCTCCACAGGTCTGAAAAGGAGCCCCAGTTTAAGTTTATCTACTTCAACCACATGAACTTGGCCGAGAAAAGTACAATTCACATGAGGAAAACGCCCAGCGTGTCGCTTACATCCGTGCACCCGGACCTCATGAAGATTCTCGGAGACATCAACAGTGACCTCACTAGGTCAGGTGAACACCACCTCCAGCCCCAGTGGTTCAAATCTACCAGCTGCTTTTGGGGGAAAGATGGGCACTCTCCCCCCTTTATGATTTACAGCCTTAGAAACCCAAGGGAGGTCACTAACTAGCCCCCCAGGTCACCGACTTCCCCCCACCCCCTGGACATCACTGACACCCCCCAGGTCACTGACCTCTAGCCCCCAAAGGTCACTGACCCCCTCCTCAGATCACTAACTTCACCCCCCACGGTGGTCCCTGACTCCACCTCATAGAGGTCACTAACTTCCCAACAGAGGTCTCTAACTTGACAGCAGTGAGTTTAAGTTCCAGTGTAAGGTGCCCTAGTGGCACAGTGTTTAAGCTCTCAGCTGTTAACTGAAAGGTTGGCGGTGTGACTCCAGCAGAGAAAGCTACGGCAGTCTGCTTCTCTAAAGAGTCCAGCCTGGACGCCCTATGGGACGGTTCTGCTGGTCCTACAGGGTCCTACAGGGCCACTGTGAGTTAGAATCAACTCGGTGGCAGGGAACCCTGGTGGCACCGTGGTTACAGTACTCGGCTGCTAATTGAGAGGTCAGTTGTTTGAACCCACAGCTGCTCTGAGGGAGCAGGATGTAGCTTTCTGCTTCCATAAAGCCTTGGAAACCTGTGGGCAAGGCAGCTCTGCTCTGTCCCCCGGGGTCAAGGGGAGCCGGACTTGACTCAAGGGTGGTGGATTACGTTCTCCTAAGACAGCCTCTTCACACCGAGTGGCGTGAGCAGGCCAATGGTCAGCTCATGAGCAGCTGCTGGTCAGCCGACACCTGAGCTCTGTGGAGTAGTTGTCTCTCCACAGACCGGCTGTCTGTCCCCTCACTGCTGGTGGTCAGCCAACCCCCGAGCTCTGTGGAGTAGTTGTCTCTCCACAGACCGGCTGTCCGTCCCCTCACTGCTGGTGGTCAGCCAACCCCCGAGCTCTGTGGGGTAGCTGTCTCCACAGCCTGGCTGTCTGTCCCCTTAGAGCTGTTGATCAGCCGACCCCTGAGAGCTCTGTGGGGCGGTTGTCCCTTCACAGCCCTGCTATCCATCCCCGGTGGTCAGCCGACCCCAGAGCTCTGTAGAGCGGTTGTCCCTTCACAGCCCGGCTGCCCGTCCCCTCACAGCTACTTTGGAACTCCTGTCTTACAGAGTGGACGAAGACGAGGAGATCATCGTGAAAGCCATGAGCGACTACTGGGTCGTGGGGAAGAAGTCAGACCAGCGGGAGCTCTATGTCATTTTGAACCAGAAAAACGCCAACCTGATTGAAGTAAATGGTAAATGGGGTTGGTCCTTGAGCCGAGGGTCTGTGTCCCTGGGAGCTTGGATAAGCTGTCCTCTCAGTGTCCTGCGAAACACGGGGGACAGAGCAAATCCCAAAGGGTGAGGTGCAGAGCAGTGCTGCCTCTGGCGCATAGTTGACGCAGCATTTGATCCTTTTCTGTTTTCTGTAGCAGAGTCCCAGGAAGGGTGTCTGAGAAATGGTCCTCAATCACAGGAAACCTGGCAGTCGCCAAAAGAAAGTGATTTTTTTTTTAAAAAATCTCCATGTTGAAAATGAATCCTTTCAAAATGTCCTGTGATGAGAATCGCTCGTTTGTGGATCACGCTGCCCAGCTGGCTTCTGGGGCAGCGTCCAGCTCGGTCTGTCTGCCCAGCAGCAGAGCAAGGCTGTGAGGGCTGTGGGCCTGGCCCTCCGCTCTGGCTTCGGCATACTCGTGCTGCCTGTGCACTCCCCTGAGGCTCTTGCCACTTGTTGTTCGGTGCCATCAAGTTGCTTCTGACTCGTGTAAAACAGTCGTACAGCGGAACGTAGCACTGCCACGTCCGTCCTCCCCCACCCTCACAGCCATCGCTGTGTCTGACCCTCTCCCGGGCTGGTCCTGCCGCCTTGCACGTAGACTAGGAACAAGGAGGGTGCCTTCAGGGAAATGCACCCATGGGCAAAGTGCTAATGAAGTTAGTGCAAGCCCTTTTTGTTTTGGTTCTATCTTCTGAGACAGTAGTTTTACCCAGAGAGGGATTCTAGTAAATGTGTTAGCCACAGTGTGTAAAAGCAGTGGAGATGTTGTGGTGGTGCATCATCACGTTAGATGCTGTCTTCCTCCTCCCTAGAGCCACAGATAATTCAGGCTCTCTAGGGGCTGGGTTTAAGCTTTTTCTCACTTCAGAAGCAAAACTGTTTCAGGATGTTAAATAGTAATCGAAGTCTCTTGGGTTCCTTAGGGGTGGTTATGGGTTTTTGGTTGGTTGTGTGGGGTTTTTTTTCTTCCCCCTTTTCTCTGTTTTTTTTAAAATATTTCTTCTTTAGGCTTGTAAAATTTAAAACCCAGGTGCCGTTATTTATTCCCAGCTTTATTCCAGAAGGAGCTCTCATGATGCTGTAGTTAAAGCATTTGGCTGTTAACCCCAAGTCTGGGGGTTCACACCCCCCTGCTGCTCTTTGAGAATAACCTGAAGCGGTTTCTGTACAGACGTGCAGCCTGGGAACCTGATAGGGCAGTTCTGCTGTCCCGTAGGGTCGACCCCACAGCAGTGAGCCTGGGGGTGTGGTTTTACTCCAGGAGAATTTGGGGTGCTGATGTTCATCAGCCTGGAAGTGGCGGCCTCCCCCTCACTCGCTGCTCTCTGTCCTCCTGCAGAAGAGGTGAAGAAGCTCTGTGCCACGCAGTTCAACAACATCTTCTTCTTGGACTGACGGGGCTGGCTCCCGGGGAGGCCGGAGGGGCCGAGCTCACAGCCTCTGCCGCCAGCCAGGAAGCCACCGTGACCGGTTCACGACAATAGTAAAGCAATACTTGCTGGGGAGAACCGATTTCTACTCCATCGCTAAACCGAATGATTCTGGAGATTTTTAGATTTTAACTATTTATGTGGAATTAATTCAAGGTAGTCTGCGCCATCTCTCATCATTCCATTCTTTTGACATTATGTGAATATTTTACTGGAAAATGAGGTGAATAAATTGCTAAAGTTTTTAAGATTCTAGTTTTTCGTTCCGTCTGTCTCCCATCCGTCGCCTGGGTGTGGCTGCACTGCAGGTGGGGCCTGGCCTGGGCTGGGCTGGGTCTGAACATGACAGCCCCTTTGTAACAGCTGAAAGCTCTCCTGGGTGTGGGGCCCCTTCCCTGCCAAGTAGCGACTTATGAATGTGATATTCACCCAAAATAATTGTTAGGTTGAATACCAGCGTGATTTTGAGAGGACGTGGAACACGGGCAGCTTAACAGAAGCGTCCTGCCTGAGGCAGAACCACGCTCATGGTTCAGCTGGTACAGTCCGGTCGCCCACCTCTGGACACCATCACCACAGGCGACATGAAGTCTGGTGAATTGTCTTTAATTCCACCTCATTTCTGGTACAAGGTGAGTACAAGCGTCCTGGTAGCAGCCCAAGTGGTCTAGAAAACCAGCATCCCCGAGCCGTGAGGGTGGCTCCCCAACTGAGGCCCCACGGTCTGTCTGTAGCATTCCCTCCTCATTCCTCGTTTCAGGAGTCCCACTGTGGTTCCTGTTACTGAAGACACCGTTTTTCATTTCTGTCCCGTTTGCCACCATTGATGGTGCGAGTTCACGGCTGGCAGCCACTGCACTGCAATGAGGCCTGGTCTCTGGGTTCTTCCTCCTGCAGATGCGCTCAGCCTTTGTGCTCAGGTTCAGTTCCAGGCCACCACAGTAAAGAAAGATCACAGCAAGAAGGTTCTAGTTTCTCAGTGCATATTTTTGTTGATTGCCATTGAGTCGAGCACAACTCATAGTGACTCCATGAACCAAAGACCTAATGCCTTTCTGTAAGTTTCTCCAAGTTCATAGAGTTTTCACAGGCATGTGGTTTAGGAAGTGGATGCTGCTCCTGCTTCCAAACCTGTCCTACAACCAAACACCGTCCACACTGGTAAACCATTATGGTATTTGATACCCCAATGGCACACGTTCAGCATCACAGCAAACCCAGGTTACCTCAGTACAGCAAACTGACAGTGATGTACACAGCGGAAGAATGTTCCTCCAAAATATAGCAACAGTAGCCTCACTTAGCAGTTAAGTGTCATCAAGCCAAATACATGGTGACACTATGAACAAAAGACATGAACTCTGTAATTAATGCCATTTACTTATGTTTATGGAGTTTCTAGCATGGACAAGTTATTTTTTTTTCTCCAAAGCTCCAGCTTTTATTAAGGCATAGATTTGGGTGGAGAATGGTGGGACAGGGACAGAAAGGGGTTCAAGGAAGGACAAAGGCCTTGGGGAGTAAAGAGTGCCTTCCTGGTTGATGGACGAGTTATTATTGAAATATTCTTTTAGTGATATTATGATGAGAGTAAAATGCAGTGCACGGCAGTCTGTGAGGTGGTCAGTAGCATTCTGGAAAAGTTTGAAACATGGCAAGATGCACAGAATGTGGCTGAGACATGGAGTGAGCCCACGCTGTTGGAAAAATAGAGCCAGTCGACTTGCCCAAAAAGAGCTCTTGCGGCTGAGTGGTAGGGAGTTGGCCTGCCAACCACGGGGCAGGTGGTTTGAATCTACCAGCTGCTCCATGGAAGAAAGAAGGGCAGTCTTCTCCTGTGCAGTCCGCTACGTACAAGCCCTCCAAGGGGGCAGCTCTGAGTTGGTTCCAATTTGATGGTGTAAACAACCACAGGGTTGTTGCAGTTTTCGATTTGTAACAAAACCCAGTGTAGTCCCAGCGCAGTAAGAGGTAAGCTTGTGCACATGGACCAGAGTGTTAGTTTAGTTGCTTAAATGATCACTCTTTTTATCATCTTGACTGTTTCTTCCCACTTAATCGAGGCTTTTCTTCCCTGCGGAGGGCACAGCTTCTGCAAGATGCCAATAAACACCACACCTTCTTGGTAGCTGGTTCTTCTATCATTTCCTCCCTGGCCTTTTGTTCTTTTTCAGTTCTGCTAAGCGAATGTTAGGAGACCTGGTGGCTCAGGGATTAAAAAATTCAGCTGCTAACCAAAAGGTTGATAGTTCAAACTCGCCAGCCACTCCGTCCCAGCAGAAACATGAAGCAGTCTGCTTCTAGAAAGATGTGCAGCCTTGGAAACTCTAGGGCACAACTCTGCTGTGTTCTGTCCCACAGCCTCACTGAGTCGGAATCAGTCTGCCCACAGCGGGTTTCTATGCAGATGTTTGCTTTCAAGTCGGCTTTGTCTGTTAACATTGCTTACTCTTTAATCATCTTCATTAGATTTGCCTGAACCTCTTTTTCAACTTTCCTTTGTGACTACCAAAGACATTCTAGTGAAGAGTACCAAGGCAAATACAGACTGGTGAAGTCCAATTTGCTTTGTAAACTTCCACTCAAATCCCAATTAAAACGGAGCGAAGCAGGTGTCATCCGCCTGCCGTGGGAATTGCTGAAACGTGTGTACCTCCTCGGCTTCCTGCTGGCCACTCCGTGGTCTTTCCCCAGCTTTTCTCGGGATTAAGGAGTCCGAGTACACCGTTAGCAGAAAGGTCGGTCCATATCCACCGGCTTCTCCATAGGAAGAAGGTTGGCAGGCTCTCCCAGGACACCTTACAACCTCAGAACCTACGGGGGTTGCCACGCACTGGGGTCGATTCTACTGGGGAGCTGCTTATTTTGTGTATTTTTTCCCACATTTCTTCCTGCTACTTAGACTTAGTGGTTACTCTTAAAATTGTTTTGTGATTTGGGTAAAGTTTCTAGGCCTGGCTCTTCATTCACCAGCTCACGCACATTTGGTTGCACAGCGGTGATTGTGATCCCTCAGTGGCGCTCCCCCCACCTCCAGGAGGTTGTAACTACATTTCCTGACAGACTGTTTCATTCAGGCATGTTCCGAGTCCTTGCTCCTCGCCTCCCTAGAACGAGTGTCACTGTTTGCCCGCTTTCAATGAGTGGGCAGTGCTGTGGGCAAGTGGGATATGGGGAGACGAGGTCAAGCAGGGATGGGTAGTCTCCCCAGTCAGGGAGATAGTGGGGCTGCGTGAAGAGAACACGTCATCCAGGCCCTTCTGTCTCTGACCTGGGGCGGACAACACAGTGAGAGGCGAGGACCGTGCAGATCACATGGGGCTTGTTCTCTGCCCGTGGCATCGCTGGGAGCCAGAGCTGCTGGCTCCCAACAGTGCCAGTCACCAGCTCTGTACTTGGCTCCTCTTAGAACCTATCAGACGCTCCTCTGCTGTGCACATGGCTGTTTGCATTCAGCCTTGTTTCCAAGCTGCAGGGATTTGGGTAACACATTTCAAGTATGGTTGAGCAACCTATGGATGAGGTCATCCTGGGGAGCTTTCTAGGCTGCAATCTTTATTTTTAGTGGTTTTTATACATCATTCTCAAGTAATTTTTCATTCATTACTGGAGAAGACCACCAGGTCTTTCTCCCACAGAGCAGCTGGGTGGATTCAAACTGCCAAACTCTCTCAGCTGAGCGTTTAACTATTGTTGCCGCTATATGGGAAACAGGAAATGCAGTGGCCCAAGGTACCAGTAGGAAACGCTGGTGGCCTAGCACGTAGGGAGTTGTACTATCACCCTAAAGGCAAGTGGTACGAATCCACCAGCTGCTGCACGGGAGACAGCAGTCTCTTCCCCCGTGGTTTTCAGCCTCTGAAAGCCACTAGAGAATCAGCTGGGAGTCAGTTCTGACTTGACAGGAAGAAGATAGGATTTCCAGAATCAACAAGTAGGAAGTAACACACACCAGTTTTATTGCTCAGTAGAGTTGCCACAGATGCTCTGTCTGACGTTCTGTCCACAGTGGCCTTTACCTCCTCCTCCGCTTCATGGTGGTGGACTTGGTGGCCTGGGCCACCGTGTCCTCTCTGGGGCTTGCCGTCAGGTGCGAGGAGGCGGCATCGACCGGCTCCTTCCCGGCAGTGGCGTCGCTCTCATAGTCTTTTTTGGCTTCTTCCCTTAAAACGTTCAGCCTTAAAGTAAACAGGAGAAGACAGCACGTTTCCCTCTTTGAAATGTCAAAACCGGGTTTTGTGCTGCTGATAGTGTTAACTGGTGACGGCCGCTGTGGGCTCGTGTGTCGGGAAGTGTGAGGACGGCGCAGGATAGAACAGGGTTCAGATCTTGTGTTCATAGGGTCGCTGAGCCGTGCTCGGATTGACGGCACCTAACAAGAGTCCACACGGGCTCTGGTGGTCTAGCAGGTGGAGAGCTGTGCTGCCAAGCCCAAGGCCAGTGCTTCAAATCCACCATCTTCAGGGGAGAAAGGTAAGCAGTTTGCTCTTGTGCGGTTTACAGCCTCTGAAAACCCACTGGCGGGTCAGCGGTCAGTTGGCTTCACCTCAACGGCACTGGATTGAGTTTGAGGCCATGCCTGCCCATCTGCTGCCGTGCTCACACAGCACCAATGCCCCGTGCCCGAAGGTGATGCCACCGCCAAACCAGGACCCGCTGCCGAGTCCCTGCCAGCTCAGGGCAGCCCCGCTCTACTGTAGGCCTGTCCTCCGAGTTGCCCCCCGGCCGGACTCGACCCTCCACCTTCTGGTCAGTAGTTATGTGTAACTGATGACACCACCCCGGGACCTCAGTGCTGTGCCTGACCCACTGCTACGAGGCGATTCCAGCCCAGCAACCCTAGAGGACAGCCAGACCGTCCCCGCCTTTCCACAGCCGCAGCTCTTTACGGAAGCCGACTGCCCTGTCTTCCTCCTGGGGAGAGGCTGGTGGAATGAAACCACCCTCCTGTTAACAGCTGTGCCTTCTCCTCACCCACAGGGCCAGGAGCGCTGCTTCTGGCAGAGGCCGGCAGGAGAGAGGCGGGCCTGGCAACCGGGCACACTCACTTTGCCTCCAGCTCGTCGTCCTCCAGCTTCCTCTGCTTTTCGGCCAGGGCATCGCTCTGCCGATTCTCCTTGATCTTCTCCTTCAGCATCTCCTCGTGCTTGTAGGCTTGGAAGAGCGTGTTCACAAAGAAGACGTACAGGTGACTCACCCACGTGTTCAGCCTCTCCTTCTGCTCGTCCTTCGGCTTTTCAAATTCCTCTGCAAGAGAGCGTGGTTCCTCTTAGAAAACTTACACTTTCTATATCTTGAAGCCAGAAGACCCTCTTGGTCTTGGCTCACCATGTCTATCAAGGTGATTTTCATGGAAAAAGACTGAACGAGAAGATGGGGAGAACACCTGGCTTAGGAGAAGGTCTTCTCATCCTGCTGCTGCGGGGCCTTCACTGGATTCTGTGACCCTGTATGATGGCAAACAACTGCCCCACGCGGGGTCCTGGGCTCTCAGCCTGTGGGAGTGGATGGCCAGGTCTGGGCTCCCATGGGGTGGGTTTGATCTGCTGGCCTCCAAGTTAACAGCCAAGCACTTAGCTATTGTGCCAGCTAGGCTGCTATGTCTCACCTATTAAAATGTCCAAAAGACTGTGTTGGAATTTGTTTCAAATATTTGATTCCAGAGAGCTGCTGCTTTGCTCTGGACGATTCTGTAGTAGCAGCAGTCCTGGGACTGCAGGAGACTGAAAGCTTTGTTTTTGTGAGATTACGTCGTTAGCTTGGGCTCCTCTGCTCTGAGCAGGTGGAACCTATGGAAAGTAGGGCTCTGTCCACAGGCACCCCAAGCCACAGGCCCAGCGTGACAGGGACTCCAAGGCTGTAAATCTTCATGGGAGGAGACTGCGCGCCTTTCTCCCACAGATTCCCCAGTGGATTCAAACCACTGTCCTTGTGGTTAGCGCACAGCATGTAACCATGTCCTGGGCCCCTTTCAGTAGGCCACAGTAGATGGCAGCCTAATGTTTCTGCTCACTAGGAAATCAAAATGTGTGGCTTGCTTTAATATATTCACGTTACCATTGCAGTGGTCTGAAAACGAACCCCAGTGTCTTGGAGGTCTGTCGACTCCCTCCAGTTACCGTGGATGTAGCCTTTGAGGACTGCTGGTGGACACGCAGCGAGCACATTTCAGGTTCTGCTGCAGGTGTTCCAAGGCCAAGCCTTTTGACAGCTGTACGTGAACACGCCTCTCGCCTGACTCACTCTGACCCGGGAAGGATGTTGGTTTCTTGACTCTGCTTCCATGGTTGTTACTCTTCTGCTGCTGTTACTCAGGGTGTTTCGGTCATTGCCAGGTGATACCTTAAGTCCTTGCTCAGGCGCACCCAGGTGGCACTTTTCCTCAGCGGTCCAGCATGTATTCGCTGCTCTGCCACCACTACTCGAAGGCATCGCTGCTTCATTCTCCTTTACTGTTCATGCAGCTGAATTTTCAATGCATATGAAGCAACTCAAGAATTCTAGAGCTGGGCTCAGGTGCAGCTGGGTCAGGGCCGCCCTCGTCTCTGACACGCTGAGCAGCCCTTGGAGGCAGTTACTCGATCGGCATCCCTGCATTTCCGGATTGTTGCTTTTACGGGTTGTGTTTGTGGAGCCAAGTAGAAATGAGACCTCTGACAACTTCTATGTATTCTCCACTTGACACAGTGTTATTTACTGGTCAGGTTGTAAAGATTCTTCAGTCTTCAGTATGGATTACAGCTCACCATCCTCTTTAAGCTCCATCAGTAAGTTTTGTCGTTTTCTTACAGCAAGGTTGTGTTGTCCGCCTGTCACAGTATGCGGAGTCGTCTTCCCCCAATCCTGATGTCACACATGCTGCTTCAGAAAATCCAGCTTCTCCTTTTACATGCTCAGTATCCACACCGGATAGAGATTTTAAGCCATGCTGTGTCCCCTCCTTCTAGTCTGATGATGCGTCTTGGACTCGGTACAGTTACGTTCGAGAATTCCTCTTCTCATGCTTTCCGTAATTTATCACGACCCACGTAATCAGAGTCAGTAAAAGTTACACATCTCTGGTTCTCAGCTTCCGACCCGAGTAGGACGTCAGCAGCGAGACCTTCAGCCTCCTGCGATTCCAGTTTGAACTTGTTTAGGCACCTGGAACAGCAGGGACTGGAGCGGGGGAGCGAGGTGGGTCTTCTAGAACTCCCACCATGACCTTTCACTCCGGTTCCCTTTGGCCGAGCGTTTCTGCGCCATCCTCACCCTAACTTCAGGAGGTTTCCCCTCGGTGTGTCGCTGCCCCCCCACCCCCGTGGCCGGAGTTCCTGGTCCCCTTTAGACCAGGCCCCGACTCCCTAGTTCATCTGTAAACGGGATCCCAGGCTGTTTCTCTCAGGGGTGAGCCGTGTCTCCTGTGCGTTCTCGGAGAGCAGCTGCGCCCTTCGTTTTCTGATCCGTAAGGCACTTCAGTGTCTGTTACTTCCTCTTCTGTCCTTTTACACACGCAGTGGCCTCCTGCTGGGGACTTCGCTCTGTCTGCTCATCTTTCAGCTTCTGTGGTACCATCTTGTCACCACAGTCGGTCGTCTGCATTGCCTGTGGATTTTGGTTTTCTTAGTTATGAAGGAGCCCTGGTAGCACAGTATGTTATGTGTTGGGCTGCTCACCCAAAGATGAGCGGTTCAAATCCACCAGACTCTCCACTCAGCAAGTAAGGGCCATCTTCTCCCAGACATAGCGAGGGAGCCTGGTTAAGAACCAACTCACAGGCGGTGGGCTGTGCGGGCTTTTCTGGAGATCTAGGAAACATGAACACTAAATCGCTGCTGCCCTCACCTCCCAGAATTCAGATTCTGGGCTGTCCGTGCCGCCTCTCTTTCCAAGTTCAACTGTGCTGTTTCCATTTTTGTATCTTGTTCAAGGATCCATGTCTATGTTAATTGCTAAATGAGCTGAACGTTTTGTTAGGAATTGGATTTCTTAAAGTGTTTCAAGCACTTGCTCATAGTGAACAACAACTTCCCAGGAGTTAGCCACAAGAGAGCTGTCCAGGGAGAAAAATCTGTCCACGGAGGAAGGGACAGGAAGGATGGGCTCGAACGAGAACCACAGGAGGGGGTGGGGGTGGAAAGCCACACCTGTGTGAGTGGTTGTGTGGCTGTGCGGTGCTTCCAGGTCACCTCCTTTGTCCTATAAAAGCACCGTCTTTGAGGCCTAGTTTTGAGGACATGTTGGCATGTGTTGCAGGCATGGAAATGGTGTCCAGTGTTACACTTCGGGCTACACAGTTTTACGGTTATGGAATGATTTTTGTGGTTCAGGGATCACTTGGCAGGTCCATGTTACACATCTGGACACTTTCCAGGGAGCTCTCTAACAGATGGTACACTGGCCTTTCATCTTTTAGCCATGGGAGGACACACGAGAGGCCCAGGGACAGGACTATGGGGACTTGCATGGGTGTGGGGGCATGACAGGTTTGACAGGAACAAAAACTCTGAGAGACCCTTTCTTGGACTACCCTTAAATCTCAGATTTAAAAAAGAGCAAGCCTCCTGTCCTGTGTGTTCCAAATGCTCTCCACCCTCCCTCAGCTTCCTGCTATAAATCTCTTTCCTGTGCTGGTGAATTTGAATCCCCAACCTTTGAGTTAGAAGCCTGACATAAATGCATTATGTCAGCAGGGATCCTTAATGTCAGATTAAGGTCCAGTTAAGATTTGACCACATTTGTCTTCTCTTCGACAAGGAGCCCTGGTGCTGAAATGGCTAAGTATGCAGTTGTTGATCTCAGGGTTGGTGGTTCAAACCCACCCAGACACTCTTTGGGGAAAAGAGGCATATAAAGATTTTTTTATAAAAATTTACAGTTTGGGGAACTCTAAGGGTTCACGAGGAGTGAAATCCACCCTACAGCTACGGACTTTAATGTTTAAAGAAGCCTTAGTTGTTCAGTGGTTAATTACTTGTCTGCGAACCTGAAGGTGGTTGGTTCAGAGCCACTCAGTGAGTCTGGAAGGCCATATGCTCTCCTCTGTAAAGATTACGCCCCAGGAAACCCTGCATGGCCGTCCACTCTGCCTGAGAGCCAGCGGCAATGTGGGGGGGCCGGGGCGGTATGAGAGCCAGCAGGGATGTGGGGAGGCGAGGGGGGACGGTATGAGAACCAGCAGCGATGTGGGGAGGCTGGTTCAGGGGAGGTATGAGAGCCAGCAGGGATGTGGCTGTGGGGAGGCCGGGGCAGGAGAGGTCCTTTCGGGCAACAATGTAAAAGGACTAACATTCTAGAGTGGGAATACTCACCATTATGAGAGGAGGATATTTCTTTTTCTACAGGTTTGAAACTTATTTTGGAAACTCTCTCTTCACTTAGAGACTTCTTGATCTTGGCCTTTTATGGGGGGGAAAATTCATAAAGCAAAATATGTCTGCATCATACTATGTCTTGTTTATTACAAGTAACCATAAAATGAGGTCATTCTTTAGAGCTATCATTTGTCAGTTCTTTTACCTGCATTAGGTGTTTGTACAATTCAGGGATTAAGGCAGTTAGCACAGTGTCTACACAAAGCCCTCCACCCCAGAAAGAGACTTGACAGTATGTCCTGGGCTTCTGGGGGACAACAGTATTGATGATACACAATTAACTGTACGTCTAGGGCCCCTGGGGAGTGCAAACAGATTCCAGTCCCCTAGAGAGGAACCGAGGACGAAAGGCTGGAAGGTGTATGTGTGAAAAGCCAGCCGTTAAAAATCCTGGGGACCCCTGAACACAAGGTTTTGCCACGAGATACAGCCCACTCTTCAGCCGCTGATGTAGTGTGGGTGTAAACTAGGGCATAATCAAAACCACCAAGCCCGGGGGGTGAAATTGTGTGTCCCTAAAAATACAGGTATGTAATGGTACAACCTGTATGCAGAACAGATTATCCGAGAGGCTGGGCTCTATGAGGAGCAGTGTGGTGTCAGGATTGGTGGAAGATCATTAACAATCTGCGTTATGCAGATGACACAACCCTGCTTGCTGAAACTGAGGAGGACCTGAAATGCTTGCTGCAGTGGGTCAAGGACTGCAGCCTTCAGTATGGATTGAAGCTCAATGTCAAGAAGACAAAGATTCTCACCACTGGACAAGTGGCAGCATCAGGATGGATGGTGAAGATAATGAGATTGTCCACAGCTTTAGTTTGCTTGGCTCCACCGTCAACACTCTTGGCACCAGTAGCCAGGAAATAAACATTGTGATGGGAAAGTCTGCTGTTAGGGACCTCTCCAA